TTATTCGTAATATTTATTCGTTTATATTAACAAAATATGAAAGTAACATACTTTGTCGATTGTCATTTATCTTAAATACATCTCAAATAGAAAGTCTACGAACTAAAAAAGATTTTAAAAAGAATAATTTTTAATTCTCTTCCGAACTTTACCATCCAAACACACGACACATTTAAAATCCATGGAAATCCTTACAGAAATTCAAAATTCCACCAAAATACTTCTAAAAGCAAACGACCTCATTATAACTCTGACAAAAAATTGTTTATTGTAAAATAACATATCGTACGAACAAATGTACCTATGTGACAATATATAGTTGTCACTGTTAAAGGTTATTATAATACACATCTATACCACATGTTATGAATCAATCCAAAAATGATAGACATCCATATTACCTAACTATTTATTTTAAAAAGGGAAAATAACTTAAAATGGTAACAAAGTATTAAAATTATACAAAAATAACCATTATTGTTTTTTTTAATAAAAAAAAATATAAATGAACTAAGATTTTGTACAAAAAATACCATTTAACTTTATGTTTTGTTCTTATGTATCCTCAAGGTAACCGGGTATATTCAAGGTAATCGTCTACCACCATCAATCCATCACCTTCTCTCACCATTTTCACCGAATACCACCCTTATACCTCCATTATCATCCACCATAAGCAGCTTTACACTATCACCAAACGCCCCAGATTTATCCCCTACCATTTTACATGCAAGGCAACCTCCATTCATTTTCTTCACCCTACCTGAACCACCGAACAACACCACTTTCCATCCATGATTCCCGTAGTCAACCGCCATAACCTTTACAACCTTCAATCACTATAAACCCCCCTCATTTCTCCATCACAGCCACACCCTTTAACCCACCTCCATTACAGCTACCATCAACACCATTCCCTATCCACTGTTGCCATCCCCTGTCACCCCAATTATAGAGCACCCACCTGTTATCGAGCCTCAAACCCACAAATTCATCTCCAAATTTCTAGACCCTATACATCGTCCTCTTCACCCTTTAAACCTGCAGAAAACACACAAAAAAAAAAGGAGAAGGAAGGGCGGTGATCGAATCAAGAAGGGTGACCCTTTAAACCTGCAGAAAACATGAAAAAAGAAAGGAGAAGGAAGGGTTGTGATCGAATCAAAAAGGGTGAAGAGGTAGGTCAAGAGGTATACCTGTAATCGAAAATAGGGGTGAAGAGGGAAGGTCTCAGTGATATATTGGAGGATTTCTTGAAGGCCACTGCAATCTTGCTTTTGAAATCGATCAAAGCTCACCGGTGATCAAGCATACTCTTTGATGGTAGATTTCAAGACAGTGGGTAGAGGCACGCATCTTGTTGCAACTGTATCTTTGCTCACAACCATGGAGATTCATTCTTCTCAAACATGGTGGTAGGGGAAAGCCCTAGATCATTTCAATTTGGGAGAAATAATGAAGGGGAAAGCCATGAGTTATTCTAAATATATTTTATTTCCTCATAAATAAAAAACAATCGAGTAACCTACAATAGCAGGTAACCTGGTATTTTTTATACTAAAATAACAATAATGGTCTTTTTGTACAATTTTCATACTTTATTATCTTTTTAAGTCATTTTCCCTTTAAAATGGATTTTCAAATGTCTATTGCAACTCTTTATTTTGCAAAGATCGGGTTCACCCTTTGGACGTAATACTATAACAATGTGTAATAAATTGCATACCATTTCTGACTATCTCATAATTGATACCTACAAAACTCAAACTATACAGACTTTTAACCGGGATTGGGTGGGAGGGCCAGTCTTAAGGATTTAAATATCCTTAAATACTCTGGACGAACCAGAAAAATTACCCTTATTGCTTATATATATATATATATATATATATATATATATATATATATATATATATATATATATATATATATAGGATATAGATCCGGTAAGAAATTTTTTTTAGTAGGAAGGTAAGAAGTTTTTTTTCTACATATTTTTTTGACGAACAAAATAAATGAATCACTAGATGATTCATTTGTAAGATGATTCATAAGAAAAAATTCTCAAAAAAACATATTTATGATACATTTTTAAGTAAATTAAGAAAAAATTCATTTTTATGATAATTTTAGTGAATAACAACAAAATCATTGTATAAATGAATCACCGAGATGTTTTTTTGAGAATTTTCATTGTGAATTATCTTACAAATGAATCATCTAATGATTCATTTTGTTTGTTCGCGAAAAAAATATGTAGAAAAAAAACTTCTTACCTTCCTACCAAAAATTTCCTTCTTATTTGATCTTGATTATATATATATATATATATATATATATATATATATATATATATATATATATATATATATATATATATGGGAGTGTTCAATTGAGAAAAAAAAAGGTTGAGAATAGGGGAATCATTCTCAGCCAATCATTTATTTTTGCCGCAAAAGGCTCTAACGTGCCGGCGGAAATGGGAAACGAATGCACATGTCTTTTCTAACATAACATATTTCCTTAAACTATGCTAATCATTACCTTAATATATACAAAAACATAGTTTTTTTTTCGTTTTTTTAATTTTTATAAGCTATTTTTATCAAAAAATAATTTTAAATATACCAAAATTCAGGATTTTTTATTCTCTACAAATAGACATCTATATTGATATAGTTTTAAGATAAAATAAAAAATTTATTTTTTTATATTTTCAGCTATCGGTATTAATAAATGAATAACAATGCATCAGGTTTTATTACAGTACATTCATTATTCACTTATGAATAAAAAGTATGATTTTTTTTTTTTACAATTTATGTATCATTGATATATGAATATAGCATATAATAAACATAGTATACTCATATTTTAATATTGAACGATGAATTCACTTGTGAATATTAATATAGTATATTCACTTGTGAATATTAGATGGTATATTCACTTATGAGTATTAAATGATATTTCATATGTGAATATTACATAGTATTACATGGTATATCACATGTGAATATTACAGAGTATATTCACTTGTGAATATTAGATGATATATTCACTTATGAATATTACACAGTATATTCACATATGAATATTACAAGGTATATTCACTTATGAATATTGAAGGTATTTTGACAAATATATATAATTTTTATATGTTATTCACATATGAATAACATACAGACTTGCATATTTGTTTTGTGTTTTTAATAATCATATACTGATTCAGGTGAGAAAACATATTCATATGTGAATATAACGTGGTAATTTAGTTTATGCATTTCATCAAACAGTTGGAGTGCAAACAAGTTAACTATTTTAAAAATGTTAAAAACATCAAGTTATCAATTCCAAATCATCATATACTTTCGATTTCGACTTCAGATGCGACATCCTATCTCTGATCGATTTCTCAATTTGATTTTGATTTCCGAAAATCCGATTGGGAACCTGTGAGTACCGATTCTAAGTCCCTCAATGTCGACTGTGATTGCGAGTCCATAACTCCGATTCCAATTTCATGAACAGCGAAGAAATTCCGATTTAGTTGAAGAAATCTGGATGATTATTGAAGGTTGGAGGAAAAAATTTGATGATGAACGAACAATTATCGAATTCTCAATAGTTACGTATTTAAGATTGAAGGTTATTACGATATTTACAAGTTTGCCACTGTGTCTTTTATGCTTAGATTAAATGAGTGGTTGAGAATGATTCCCCCATTCTCAATCTTTTTTATTTTCTCAATGGAACCCACCTCTCTCTCTCTCTCTTTATATATATATATATATATATATATATATATATATATATATATATATATATATATAGGATATAGATCCGGTAAGAAATTTTTTTTGGTAGGAAGGTAAGAAGTTTTTTTTTCTACATATTTTTTTGACGAACAAAAAAAATGAATCACTAGATGATTCATTTGTAAGATGATTCACAAGAAAAAATTCTTAGAAAAACATCTTTATGATTCATTTTCAAGTAAATTAAGAAAAAATTCACTTTTTATGACAACTTTAGTGAATAACAACAAAATCATTATATAAATGAATCATCGAGATGTTTTTTTGAGAATTTTTTCTTGTGAATCATCTAATGATTCATTTTGTTTGTTCGTGAAAAAGATATGTAGAAAAAAAACTTCTTACCTTCCTACCAAAAATTTCCTTCTTATATCCCTATACTAATAAAATAGTAGTTCTTTTGCTATGTATCATCATATTAGACATCTTAATTAATGTGTTGTCAGTTGTCAATATATTAGTTCTTCATTTTAAATTTTTTAGATCTCCTCATTAATGTGATATTATTTATCAATGTATTTATTCTCTATTTTAAAATTAAAATTTTATATTAATGTTTTCATTAATTCACAAATAAAAAATATCTAATATATATTAAAATTTAATTTTACATATTTATTTGAATCAAGGATTATAATTTCGCATAACTAAAAAAATATCTCTTAAACTAATAATTTATTTAAAACAATTGATTAATAATTTTGAATTTTACTATAAAAGTTTAATTAATTTTATAACCGTGGTTCCCACGGGTTATAAACTAGTATATATATGTTTAGATTATTTTGTTTAAACTAATTATTGTGTTATTGTATTACTAAATATGAGTCAATCAAATATTTAATTTTTGAAGGAAAATGATTATCATTAATTTGATTTCCAATAAATGAAAAAGCCTTCACATTTAAAGATAACGGGAAGATTATATGTGTACATTTGTCATCTCCATTAAAATAGGAAACTGACCCTATTTTCATACCTACCCGCATAATCCCTACAACTTCGCTTCAATCCGGATTCCACTACCTTTTGTATCGGAACACAAAATCAATGTATATCTTCTATAATCCACAAAAAATAGCGGTAAATTCTGTTCTTTTTTTATTATAAAGTGATATATTCTTGAAAATTATTCAAAGAAATTGCATTGTGATCGTTCGAAGAAAAAGAAATTGCAGTACAATGAGGAATACAAAGACGACTTCTTTCAAATCGAAATTTAAGAACACACAAGAAACGATTTTTAATCTAGATGAACACGTTGATGATTTCGTTGCTCCGCCTATAGGTATTTTTTTTTTAGTTTTTTTTAATGTAATCGTTTGAATACACAACATTCTTTTGGAATGTTTGAACTATGAAGTAGATGCATGTGGTTGTTTAGTTCGTTTAAGTAACATAGAACAAAATTCTATAAAAAGGGATTTTTTTTTATATTAGGGTTTTTGAAATTGAGGATTTACAAACTAATTAAAATTTTTTATTTTACAAATATGGTAGTGTCATTTTTCAAGAACAGGGTTTGTGATTGTGTATTTTGTCGTGTCTTGTAAAAGCCAAAAACGATGTTGTTTCTATCCATTTTTTTCTTTGCAATATGTTGTCGTTTTTGTGATATAAGTATGTCATGAGGATCTTCTGTAAGAATTGAATGTTTTTTTTTGTGGATTTTATGTGAAATTCGTTCTTCCAAAATACAGAATATGTAAAATGACTCAATGTACTTGCTGTTGTGGTAATTTAGGGTGTGAATGTTTTGTTTGTTATTGAATTTATTTAGTATTTTGAGATATTTTTTAAAAAAAACATGCATAAATCTTTCAAGGTCTTCATGTTATGATAGAATTTTGTAAGATATTGTTGTATTGTTTATTTTATTTGATTTTTTTGAAATATGAAATATTTTTAATTTTGTAAGATATTGTTGTATTGTTTTATTTTATTTGATTTTTTTGAAATATGAAATATTTTTTATTAGTAGTTTTATTCCTATTATTTTGATGGTTTACTTTATTTCTATGTACTGTGTGTACGTAATTCTAGTAGAATCAGTGTAACTAAATGTGTTAAATTCGTAAAGAATGTGGAACATGAGAAGGGGATGTAGTGGTATAATAAATCTAATTCTCACAGAATCAGTGTAAAGTAATGTTCCTATGGGGATTACTATTAAGTATGTGTATATGTGTTTGTTTCTCTGTGTTTGTTACTGTGATTTTTGATGCTTTAGTTTTTTTGTAGTAAATATTTGGCTTTAATTCTAATAGAAACATTATACGTATGTGTGTTGTATTCTTACAGAATGAAAACATAAAAATGTATTAATAGTGGTTATAAATATTGAAGTATCCGTGGTTACTTTGAAAAGAATTAAAATTTTAATAGAATCATTGTAAGGGAATGTGTTTACATGCTTAAAGAATTGTAACATAATAAGTGTATATAGGGGTCATATAGATTGGATTGTGACTGGTTAATTTGGAGATTACTATTAAGTAACTGTATATGTTTTTAATACTGTGATGTTTGCTGATTTAATTTATTTGTATTTACTATTTGGCTTTAATTCTGTTAGAAACAGTTTTTGGATTTGTGTCACATTCTTACAGAATGAAAACATAAAAATTATTTATAGTTTTTATAGGTAATGAAGTATGGCTGATTACTCTGAAAACTCTTATTAATCGACTTTAATCATTTATTTTATTAGTTGTTGTAGAAGCTGATCCAGTCCCAATTAATGTTGATACTACAAGCCAAACAAATGTGAAGAGGACCTACCATACCAGATCAACACCCGTGAAAGAGAATATCAGTACTCAACCTACAGGTAGATTTAATTGATTTGGTTGATGAAGAAAAATAACAAAATTTTTAGAACGTTTTGATAGCCAATATGTATTTTTTGTTAATTAATGAAGCAGAAGGTGTCAGAAGTGAACCAAATGATATGAATATTGTTGGATCAAGCAAAATAAAGAAACATAGGAAAACAACTTCAAGATCAGAACATGGAAAGAACAACGTATATTCTGGGAAATCAGGTTAGATCATAAGTGCTTGTAATTAATGAATTTTACTATATGATTATGAGATGGCTAATATAGAGTTTATTATTCTATTGAAGTTGTATTTGACGATTAGTAATTATGTTTATATGATTCAACAGAGGTTAACAAAGATAAAGAAGACATAATACCAATTGAGCACAAGTGTAAGAAGGCTAAAAAGGAAAGGTTCTGCTAGAAATACACCTGTAAAGGATAATAAGAAACCGATCCATTGCAGATTTTGGCTATGATGAACGAAGTGAAGGAAATTAGGGAGAAGCAGAAACGTAGAAGGCGTCGATTTTAAGATGGGCATTTTATGATGTTAGGATGGTTTGTGTTGAAAGACTTTTGGTAGTATGTTTGGTTTAAGTCTATGTTTTTTTATTTAGGGAACTATGTTATGTTGTTTTATTTTGTTATAGTGTTGTTTGTTTTGGGGAAACAGTTTATCATGGTAGGATGGTTTATGTTGAAAGACTTTTGGTAACATGGTTTGTTTTGGTCTAGGTATTTTGCTTGGGGAACAATGCTAATGTGTTTTATTATGTTCTAGAGTTGTTTGTTTTTGGGAAACAATTGAATGTGAATGCTGTTTGTTTTAGTAGTTTTTTTTGGAAAGCGTTAGTATTTAATAGATGTTGGAATGTGTATGTGGATATGAAAGTAATGAAAATATGCAATGTGTTGAAAGATGGTTTGTAATGTACAGGTAAGTTTTGTTTTTCAAGAATATAATTATGATACACATTTGTTGTGCAAGTTTGATACAAGTTAGCATAGAGATTAATCGTGGATAGAAATTGTTATAATTATATGTACATGATATTCTGATCGAATATATGTGCTTGATTACAAGTGGTAGAGTGTATGAACATTAAGATTTTCCATGTTTGTTTCAATGTTATATTGCAGATAGGATACACATTAATCATGGTAGAATGTATGAAGATTATGTTCTTGCAAGTTAGGATAGTCATTAATCGTATATAAGAATTGTTATAAATTTAAGAACACCATGTTCTAAAAGAATACAATAAGTTGATTACAAGTGCTAGAATGTATGAAGATAATGTTCTTACAAGTTAGGATACACATTAATCATGGAGAGGAATTGTTAGAATTGTCTGTACATAATGTTCTGAAAGAATATAGTAGCTTATGTTACAAATGGTAGAGTGTATGTAAATTATGTTATTCCATGTTTGGTTGAAGATATGCATTATTTTGATTGTTACATAGTAGTGTTTTTCACGAGTCTAAAATTTATAAAATATAAAAATTGTTGTCATTCTTATATTTAAAATTCTAGCAGAATACCATTTTGAATTGTAGTTCTATCATATATTTTGTTCTAAAATAATTAATTTCTGATTGAACAATATGTACTAACAAGGTAAATATAGTGACTTTGTTTTGAATACAAAAAAATGTTCACCTTGTTTGGAAGTTTTTTTTGTAATATGCCACATACAAAACCTATGTGCTGACATTGGAAATACTTCATTAACGGCCTTGTTCAAAGCTGGATCTTGATCTGTAAGAACAAGTGTAGGTTGTTTTTTGAATGCTTTCAAAAATGCTCTAAGCATCCAAGAGTAAGAACTACCATCTTCTATACTCAAAAGTCTAGCACCCAAAGTCACACATTTCTTATGATTATCTATCCCTGTGAAAGGTACGAAAACAATATCATATCTGTTTAAAAAGATAAAACTTGGTAAGCGTTATTGGAAGCAAGAAAAATTATGTGAAAACATTGCAAAATTTAAAAATATTTATTCATGCTGAATGTGGCATCCAGAGAAACAACGTCTCCAAAAGCATTGTAGTTGTACTTTGCGGTTTCATCAGCCTAAAAAATCGAATTCAATTTTTTCTCAACAACTTTAAAATCGAAAGAAAAACTTGGGATATTTTTTTTCCTTCCCAACATCTTCACTACAAGGAATTTTGCATCCCTGGAACCTATGTAAGAATTGAGATTTCTCGTACTGTTCTTGAAATTAGAAACCAACCCACCTCGAATGTCAGAACCACCTTGAAGGTTTGGAATACAATCTATGTGCTCTTGAGGCACCAATATTTTGCTTTGACAAGTTATGAATAAAGATCTCCTGTGAATAATCAAGTTTCTTCTTTGTACGAGACAAAAACATATTATCATTACCAAACAACTTATGATTATGTTGTTCGACAAATTCAGCAACAATATATTTATTAGTAACATGTATTAGTATAAAAACAATTTTCGCTTTGCATTCGCACCTAAAATGAGTCTTTTCTTCTCTGAATCTTATTATGAAGAGGGTCCAAAGTATCCACTTTAGCGGTTGTTGGTTTACCTTCCCGATTGCATAACAAATGTCATTGTGTGGTAATGCCAGATTCGGTTGTTCTAAATGGTCCAAGCCTGACATCAAAGCCTGCTAATAATGCGTAATTGTAATACATTGATAATGATGTTGTATATGAGTCAAAAATTGAATTGATTTTAGGTTTGATGTTGTCCGAAACAACATGAATCCTATAAGATGATCCACCAGGAGAAACACAATCATGTGTAACATGAGATTGTTCTGCATAAAAAAAATATTAAAAAATTGGCAAAGAATTAGTCTAGTTTATTAAACTTTTTTCTGAAAATCAATGTTATCATCATTTATAGTATAATCTGCCTCATTATCATTGAACTCGCATTCATTTTCTGCATCTTTTAATTAGAGTATGTGTAATGGATACGTAAATATATATAAAAAAAGAAAAAAAATACTTCAAATACATCACCTAGGTTATGATTACTAGAATCACCGAAATGATATTCGGAATTGTCATATATGTGATCTTGAATGTGTTCTAATGGATCCTCATCTTTGCAAGTGAAAGTTACGCCATATCGCAAAAAACAATATAAAATTTCAACATTATTATTATAAAAAATAACAAATATAAAAACTTATAAAGTAAATTCACCTAAATTTAGATTGCTATTCTCGGATATTTGAAACTCGACGTTATGTAGATAATCATGATCCTGTAACCTGAAATCTTCATAATCCTTAGGATATTCATGTTGATCATGAATATAATTGTCACCAGTTGATACTGTATCATCCATAAGATAAGTAACAGCACGATTGAACACCAGTTGATTGGAGAAAACAAAATAAATACGATATTACAAACTTTGAGCCAATTCAGTATGTATTAGAAAAGCAGAAAACGTGTAATTGATATGTAACTTCAAAGGCGTGATATCTGCATTCATTATTATCAATTATTTAGTTTTTAAAATTTTTAGAAAGATTTTAAAGATAAGAATCAACACAAAATCGTATTATTTATCATGATATTGTAAATATTTGACATATTCATATTCCAAATATAATAAATTCCATAGATAAGACTTCAACACATCCTGCGTTTTAAATTAGACTTTTAATAAATTAATTCAGCAAACTTTAAAAAAAAAACTTTTTTTTTTATGAATTTACAAATGATTTCTGATTTATTATGGCATAAACGCATATACTAAGAAAGCAATCAATATCACAAGAGTGTTATTCTGTGAGAATATTTGAAACATGATTTACAATAAATTTATTTTTCACACATTTGTTCTGTATATTCTCGTATAACTTATCATAGACATACTTATACCATGGTATCATGATACCACAATCTTATTCTGTAAGAATATATGTAATAAGAATAACAGTGAATTTATTTTGCTCATGTTTGATCTGTATATTGTAATACAAATTAGCATTCTGGTAGAATTTGATAATAAGAATTCTAATGGAATCTTTGATTAATCAATAAGTAAAACAAATTTGGAAACACTTATTCTTTACGAATAATAAAAATTGTGTTTTTGTTTATTATGTATCTTGTAATCAACAGTCACATTCTAGTACTTTTGATAATAAGAATTGTGTTATTGTTTGTTCTATACGAATAATAAGAATTGTATTTTATATCGATCATTCTAACTGAATGTGTACATATAACATTAAGTATAACACAATTTACGAAGAATTGTTTTATACAAAAATATGAGAACAAAAATGCTTTTACAACAACATATCTGTAGTCATATGATAAATAAAAAAATGTATGAAATTTTAATCAAACTCAAAATGAAATTTATTAATAATAATTGAATGAAAACATAAACTTACAAAGAGAAACCCCTATAATCCATGAATCCATATCATTATTATACTGAAATAAAACTCCATAAACTACGATAAAAATAAATTGAAAACATTATTCAATTCCTAAAATATGTTGACAAACTAAACATCTACTCTCTCTTGACCCTTGCTTGAGGACAGTTCCTCCTATCATGACCAACACCAAAACAAATCTCACATCTTCTTATTTTCTTCCGATCTTGATGCACTTGGCATTCCGATCATTGTTATCAGAAAAGTCATTCTTATTGTTATCAATATTGTCTTTGTTAGAAAAACACAACAATAAAATTCAAAATATAAATTTCATCACTGAAATATCATAAAGAACAAATATGAAATAAATATGATAAATGATTATTCTGAACTATGAATATAACAAAATTTATATGCATATGATAAACGATAATTCAACACTATCAAAATAAAAACATTTATGAACAACATACATCCATTAACGAAAAATCAGAATAAGAAAAATGATCTACAGATGATGAACGATGAATCTGCTAAGGAATAAAACGTATACAATATATATATATATATATATATATATATATATATATATATATATATATATATATATATATATATTATTTTCGTTGATGTAATCCATATTTAATAGTATGATATTTAGGAATTTGATAGAAATCAATCAAACTTTAATTAACTCGGAAAATATAAAACTTTAATTAACTCGGAAAATATAAATGATGTTGTAAGATTACATTAATACCCTTTAAAAATAATTTTTATACATTTTTGCATACAATAACACAATAACTAGATTAAAGACCTGACCTCTCTCTCTCTCTCTATATCTATATAACATAATAAAAAAAATTAGCCCTTAAAAATTGGATCCTATTAAGGCGTCCACTAGAGGTGCAAACGAGCCGAACCGAGCCCGAGCCTGGTCAGGCTCGAATCGGGCTCGTTTAAGTTATATGAGGCTCAAGCTTTCTTTTACTGAGCTCGGTTCGAGCTCATTAAGAATTAT